TCTGACCACCAGATCCTCCGGCCATTCTCACACGCGAGCGTGTGCCGGACGCCACTTTCCGAATGTCGTAATTTTCGGGAGTGGCAGTGCGAAGGATTCCCGAGCCGCTCTCATACCATGCTAGAATCAAAAGTTGGTCGTCACCAGGATCTACTCAGGAAGGTTCGCACGCAGTAAGGTAGTGTTGGTGGGCCCTTGACCTCAATAGCAGAGTGAATGTAAAATGCTTGAGATGATGAAAACATGCAAATACAACGATATAAATAAGAGTACAGGGGAATACGAAACGACCTAGCTAGCCATGTACTCTAAGGGGTACATTCCCTTACTCAAATTCATTCCCAACCTTGCGGTGCGCACAGTTACGAAACTGTTCCCGCCAAAACCATCGCGCCTGCAGCTGCCCGATGCCGTCTGCTCCGACGGTCCAGATGTGCTGTAACTGTCTGACGCTTCGAGTCAATTCCTAACTGTCTGACTCTTCGCGTTCGTTCTCGATACTGCGTGCTTCTCTTGCTGCGGTGAGGAGTGCACAGTAATAATCAAGTATTACTATTCGTAACACTATTGACTCCCCCCCCATGCAAGGCAGGGGATGCTGTAGCTTAGCTTTTGGATTGTTAACTTTCACGCATTATTATCATGTTACATGTATAAGTATGCATGCATCATATCATATCATGACAAATATTATGCATACCACATCATTATCATTTATCCATAATGCATTTATATACCTTACATTACTGTGCATTCATCTAAGCATGTGTGCAGAGTTCATAACATGCATTACCACACAATTCATTACCAAGTCATGTAAACACGGTACCACTGCATCGGTAACGTAAAAAAATACACTATAAACAATACAGCTTTAGTTGTAAATTACTACAAGAATAAATCGCATCACATTCTAGACTACGAACGGTATTCAAAACTGCTCAACACGCATAGGGTTTTTTTTTTCATGTTTTATTTTTCAGAAAATATTAAAAAAAAAAAAAAACTGCTCAGATCGATTGTAATAGGTTGCTTCGCAACCCAAAAAGGACGGTCCTACGGACCTAGTGCTCTGATACCATGTTAGAATCTAGCAGCAGGAATGAATTTACTAGATCAGGGTTTGGTACAAATATGAAACCCTAATGGGGTTGTACCCCATGTTGGCTACCCCACTACAGCCTACACATACGGTATATAACATGCATATAATTTGACACTACTCTATAGCGAGTATAGCCCAAATTAGGGTTTGCTATATGTACTCAACTGCCTGCTAGTGAAACCCCTCTTTCCTGTTTCTCATTCCTGCCTAGACTTCTGACATGCTATCAGAGCAGGTCGACCCTCCTGGGTCGATCCTGTGGGTGGTCCCACCCGTTAGCTTTATGCTTCCGCTACTGTCCTGCCTATCGCACGTCCTGCGTGCGCGATGTTTTCTGCCTGCCGCACGCTCAGGACGCGCGGCGTTTTTTCTTCCCGCCGCGCGCTCGGGGCGTGCGGCTGTTTCCTGCCCCGTCGACCCGCGCATCGCCCCCCGTCGACTGTCGCGTCGCCCCTCGGGAGCCCGTCGCGTCGCCCCGCACGCTTGCGCGTCGCCCCCGCTGCCCCGTCGTGGCGCCCTGGGGAGCCGCGCCCGGCCCCCGCAGCCTCGTCGCGACGCCCTGGGGAGCCGCGCGCGGCCCCCCGCTGCCCCGTCGCGGCGCCCTCGGGAGGCGCGCGCGGCCCCGTCGCGGCGCCCTGGGGAGCCGCGCGCGGCCCCCCGCTGCCCTGCCGCGGCGCCTTGGGGAGTCGCGCGCCGTTCCGCTTCAGCACGAGCACCGCCCCCGCTGCTGCTCGCGCTCCTGCCCCGTGCTGCCTGTGTTAGGGTTTGGGGGTGGCGAGTGTGGGGGTGACGGGTGTGTGCGCCGTCCCCTGCTCCTCCTCCTCCTCCGTCTCCCACTGCTGCAGCTGCCGCTGAGGGGGGTGGATGTGTGGGGGCCATTGGATTGGTACTAGGGGGGTGGCGTGTGAGCAGTGCTAGAGGTACAGCAGGGGGTGTGTGAAAGGGGTGTGGGACAGCTGGGGGAAGTTGAGTGGAGGCAGCCGTCTTGTCGTCCGCAGCGCCTGTAGTCCAGAGAGCCAGCTGCGCCTGTCGCCGTGTAGTCCGGGGCTCTGCGCCTGGTAGCGACAGTGCTGCGCACTCCTGGGAGCACAGAGAGCCAGCTGCGCCTGTCGCCGTGTAGTCCGGGGCTCTGCGCCTGGTAGCCACAGTGCTGCGCACTCCTGTTGCCCGTGTGTCTGCAGCTTCAGCCGTCGCCTCCCATCTTCTCGCCCCCACAGTTTCTCCTCCTCCTCACTTGCCCTTTGTGATAGCTTCTAGCTTTGCTTATCATTGTGAACTATTGCTCTGCCTGCTTGTTGTGCTGATTATACCCCACTTTGACTATGGGGGTGTGTTAGAATGTGATGTTTGTCTAGCCTGCAGTGGGGTACTCTACAGCGAGTATAGCCCAAATTAGGGTTTGCTATATATACCCAATTGCCTGCTAGTGAACACCCTCTCTTTCCTGTTTCTCATTCCTGCCTAGACTTCTGACAGTACACTGATCCACAAGCATGCATATGTAAACGCAACGAGGCCGACTGACCCGATTCTTGAAGGATCCTGTCCCTGTGGAGCGCTGCTGTTGCTGTCTGATGCAGCTGATGCAAACAACCGATAGTACAACAGCTATTTACAGCTAAGTTCAGGGGCAGGAACTAATGTGGCGACTCAAGGCTAGCCCCTGCTACCCCTGCGATCACGCTGAACAGGGGAGGGAATTGGCAGCAGTATGTACCGGTACGGCAGTACCTCCTTTCAGCATGTACCCCTTTCGAGGCACCTCAAAAGCTACATCCTGCTACCCCTGCATTCATGCTGGACAGGGGAGGGGATAGGCAGCAGCATATACCTCCTCTCAGCATATACACCACTCTTCAGGAAAGCGGTCTGTTGAATACGATGATCCCGAGCAGGAGAATCACGAGAACTGCCACTGCTGGCACCACTTCCGGCCCTCCATGCTCCCCTTCCCCACAGCCCCCACCTCCCCCACTATCTCCTTCCTCCTCTTCCTCCTCCTCCTCCTCGCCCCCCTCCTCGCCCAATTTACCTCTGTAATTATGTTGAAGAGCAGCAGCGGGAGCAGCTCGGTAGGTACTATGCAGACTCCCACACAACTGCTGCTGATAACTTCCCCGTTCCCCCTCTTCCTCCTCTTCTTTCTCCTCTTCCTCCTCCCCGTCAGCCCCCTCCTCGGTGCTCTCACTCATTCGCTCCAAGGCATCATGGTGATCCGCGCCCAGCAGGAGCAGCAGCGAGCCCCACGCAGAACCCGGCAAGGAGGAGAGCTGGTCCAACAAGTGAGACACCACTGATACCACTGACGGTGACAGAGGGGAGGAGGGGGACGGGGGTGATGGTGGGTGGGAGCTGAGGAGTTGGGAGGAGCTGGAGGTTTCAATGGCTGGTGGTAGCGACAGTGCGGGCCAAGGTGGTGGTGCTGCTGGTGGTGGTGGTGTTGCTTTGGCCAGTGCTGTTGACGCTGAGCTTAGAGCGGCTTCTCTGTTGGCAAGTTTTGCATTGGCAGCCTGCGGCATTGACACACCGCTGCCTGCTGCTATTGCTCCGGCCACTGCTCCTTCTGTTGCTCCTGCTTCTGCTGCTGTTGCCACCGCAGATATTAGTGCTGTTGCATTTTCTTCCCTTGCTGCAACTGCTGTTTCTGCTCCTGCTGCTGCCGATTCGGTCACTGCTCATCCAAAGAAACCACACACGTGGACATAGAAAACGAATGGGCAGAGGAAGAAAGCATAACACGGAGGCAGAGGCAAAAACTCGAGGCAGAACACGGAGGCATAAATCAAGAAAGCATGCCAACCCTTGCCGATGCTCTCTATTTCAAAAAAGAGGGTACTTGCCAGGTGGCCCAAGAACTATGCAGACTTTGTACTGTGTCTCAACGAGGCATTCCGACAAAGAACAAGGGCCCCCGTCTTGGCAACAGTTTAGGAAAAAAAAAAAAAAAAAAAAAAAAATTTAAGGTGACTCAACAAGAGCAATGGACACCGGTACTGTACTGTCTCTCGACCACACACTCATAACAGAACGTGCCATTATTCCAGAACGTGCATCCACCCACTACCATTCACCACAAAACAGGAGTCAACATACCTTTCTCACAAAAGGAAGAGCCGACGTACCAGTACTACAGGGAAGCAGGGCAGTCTCCCGATTTCCTAGCAGCCTCCTTGGTGAATCATCAGTCCTCCTGGTTCCTCTGCTCCTCCCGGACCTTGTGCCTGTCTCCCACTCCTCTTCTTCACAGCCACTGCGCAACACTCTGGCCCCACAATCATCAGCAGCGGCAGAAACTGCAGCAGTATCAGCAGCATCAGAAACCGTATCAACATCAACATCAGCAGCAGCAGCAGCAAAGGTGAGGGTAGGAGCAGGCGGTCTGTTTCTTCTCCTGCGGCCAATCAGCCGCTGCACGTCGGGGTTGCTGCCTATGGCCGCCCACACTGCTGGATCGCGTGCTACTGACGTCACTGCGCTCTGCACGGAGGGAGAGAGGGAAAGCAAAACCCAGAATCTCAAGAAGTTTGCGAGAAGGACGACAAGTTTTAAGGCGTCTAAAAACTCGAATGAAAGTGACTCTTTCACGACAACGCCTTCATCTCTGCTTGTAGATTGCTCTGAAGAGATGATGTGAAACGCGAATAAGAGTGGAAAGAAGATGGCCAACAAAAGAAAAGAACCGAGTTCTTCTGGAAGCAGACCTATCTGCAGCTCTGAATCCCCAGAGAAAAGCTCTAAGGCCTGCAAGACCACCAGCACAGGCCTGTGATGAAGCAGGCTAGAAACAAGGTGCCCCGAAACAAGCTCTTCCTACCTGTAGCTCGGCATCCCGAGAGAAGAGTTCCAAGGCGTGTGACACCACCAGCACTCGCCTTTAAAACGGTTTGTAAGGTGCTTAGAAATAGCATCCCCCTACCTGTAGCTCTGCATCTTGAGAGAAGAGCTCCAAGGCGTGTGACACCACCAGCACACGCCTGTCCCGCCCGCCCTCCTGCACGGCCCTTCTGCGGACATCTGTCACCAGCTGATTGGCTGACACGGAGTGGCTGCAGGACAGAGGGGGATGGAGTGGGAGGGGAGGGAACAGTGTCGGCGTGAAGCTCGGCAAGGGATGCACCAATCAGAGAAAGCCATTAGTAACATTGTCCGATTGGTGCACTGCTTGTCAGAGACAAATCACCCAATTCGTGAACCAGCCTCCTTGCTTCACCCAATCCCTTGGCCACGCGCCTTTACCCCCGTTCCCCCTTCTAACTTCCCCACCTCCCTCTGAGCCGTTCTCAGTCCCTCACCTTCCCCCTCATTAAAACCCCTCCTTGACCCTCCTGGCACTTCGGCACAGCCGCATCCCAGACAGCACACCGTGCAGAGCAAACTTCCTCATTCGAATCGCCTCACAAACTTCCCCCTACCCTAGCCTTTTAGCACTCCTGCGTTCCGAATGGGACATTGTGCAGGACGAGGACGAGCCATCTTTCTTGAAGCTCACTCAGTAACTACTGAGACCGAAACAAAGCATTGTTCATTTGCAAGCTGCCTTACTGATCATGAACCACAATGCGGCTAGCAGCCACAGGTGGCTGCTAGGAAGCTGTTCATCAACCAGAGCACGCCTGTACCTAGCCTAGCTGCCACATATTATCTGCTAGGCTCATACCCGACTTGGTTTCAGCTCTGTAGATCATTTCAACTGATATGCGGCTGAACGCTGCTGTAAGACAAGTGAAAATTTTAAAAATCTCATAAGCCTATTTGGTTCCATTCCTAACATAAATGTCACCTGGGGAACATTTTGAAAATTCTCGAAACCAAAATGCTTGTTTCGTTCCGCTCATATAACGAATCTCACCCAAAAAGCAAACAGAAGCTCTTCGCTTTCTTGAGAACCTCAGACAGCTCCTTACTTTCGTTTACGATAATCTATCGCACCTGGGAAGCGACTGAATGCTCGCATGCAGTTGCCTCGCCGCGTGAGCCACCTCGGACGCCGAAGGAGCCGGTCCTATCCGCACCGACTCTTGACACGTGTCAGCAAGCGAACCTATTCGCACTGCTTCCCCTCCTATCAACGGTGGCGATCTTCCAGATTGTTCCAACGGGACGCCCATGGAGCGATCGAGATGCTTGTCAGGATGAATCGGCGGTTCACACACAGCGGTCCAATCGTCGCGTAGGGATTCGCACACGTCTGCATGTTGGTCGCCACCACTGCGATCGTCACCTCTGCGATCGGCTCTGCGATCATCTCTGCGACTATCAGTGTGATCGTCTCCGCGATCGGCCCCTAGATCTTCCCTAAAATCCTCGCACAGGTCCCACTCTTCCTCTCGTGCCGACGCGGCTGCCTGCCGTGAACCCTGAGAGCCCTGATTGAAAGGACAGTACGCGAAACATTTCATCAACGAAAAAGGGACGGGAAGGGTAAGGGTGGGAAAGAGTAAAAGAGAGGCATTCGTGCGTGTCATTGTCATATCATGGGTTTCAACGAGGGAGATATTTTTGAGGCGCCTCTTTTTGAGGATTTTTGAGGCGCCTCTTTTTGAGGATTTTTGAGGCGCCTCAAAATTCGTGCGTGTCATTGTCATATCATGGGTGTCAACGAGGAAGATATGTAATACCGGCTAAACGAATAGGTACTTATAAGTACTATTAGGTACGAAGGATACAACGAAATCCTGAAACTCGCCTGATGGTTATGCCTTCCGATTGCCTCCATCGAAGGGATGCTGGGCGCCTGATGCTGTTGCGGAGAAGTCACTTGGCGATCAGACCCTCGGGATTGACGCTACAGAGAAACGTAGCGGCGCACTGACCCTCGGGATTGTTGCCACATGCAAAAGCAGCAAACTGTTCTGGTTGGTGGGGATGGGCCAGGGAGTAAAGTGCGCCTGAGTTGTCCGCCAACCGTGAACCAGGCGATTCACCGCCGCTTTTCTACTCGCGTCGCCACGAGGCGTCTACTGAGACCACTAATTAGTAGGAGGAGATATTCTGCTGTGGCTAAACTACGACATATTCGCCTCACGAATTGTTCAAGAATGTTCGCCTTACGAATTGCTCAAGAACATACCTTTACGTAACGCCTGCTAGATGCGAACTACGAATGACAAAAAAGCTACAAGCATGGCTACGCGTGCTAGATTCCACGATGCTGCATCGGTTCCTGGAGGACCTGTTGCGCAGGAATCACCACGGATTTTCTTTTAGATTTTCTGCAATTCTTCTGCAGCAGCAAGCCTGTGAGGCTGTGGGTGAGTGCATGACAAGATGACAAGATGCTCTGACGTCTCCCACTGGACATCTACTGGACGTCTACTAACAGAGAAGCACAGCTTACAAGTGGCCTGCCAATCTGAGTCATTGCCGCGCAGCTGTCTCGAAGCATGTGACGCTTAACGCCCAATGATGCGTGCGCATCTGGCAAGCCACGAGATCATTGGGCAAGCGTCCAACCAGAACGAGCTCATCTCGTGTTTCATTCGTGTGCCACGCATTTTCACGCATGGTTTTCAAGTACTCCGTATTGTATATCCGAAAAAGGGTTAATTGGTTGGATGCAATGCGCCACAGTTTGTTGGATGAGAAACACGACAGCTCGTAGAGAACATTTGTTTCTGAAAGGGGAAAGGGCGCTGAGCTGGCTAGTCTTTCCTTTTCCATAGACACCCTCACTAGCACCACAACGCAACACATCTACAAGCTAATGTACCTTATTGCAACTTTATTCATTTAGCTACTAAGAAAGCAAGCTTGACTAGATGACCAAACCAGATGGAATGGTTGCATTCCTCAATACGGTAACAATCCCCTTGTTGATGACGAATCCAGAATCCTCCTGTATCGACTCTTGAACTCCATCCTTATTGATAATCTGCGAGGGCATGCACAGACGAGGAATGGTTTCATGTGAAATAAACTGCTCCTTTTCTGCGATAAGGAAAAAGTCACAGATGGCTACTTACGTGCACGTTGTCTCCGACTCGTGCGTTCTTGTCAAGGATAGCTCCCTTAATGACCGAATTCCGCCCAACACCAATGGGTAACTGCCCCGATGCAAGAACCCTCCGCAGCTCATCCTCATCCTGGAAAAATCCAGGACCAGGGGAATCGATTGCAACATCCATGAAGAGAGCCGGATGTGAAAAGGCAGGCTGAGAGCAGCTGTAAAATTAGAAATACACTTGGAAAAGAAGAGATAAAAAAGAGAAACCATCATCACGTAAGTACCTCGTAGTAATCAGCTCCTAGCAGCAAGCTGTCGTGAATGGATGACCCAGCACCAACTATTGACCGCAGGCCCACCATTGAGTCGTGAATGGCGCACTCCTGGGAGTTAGAGATGGTGACAGTGGCAATGATTAGAGACAGTAACAAAGACAGTGACGTTGCAAAAAACGAAGTGAGGCAATAGCCCGAGTCTTGGGGAGCCCGAAATCGAAGGGTGGCTGCAAATAGGGAAAACATTGACTCCTGCAATCTGAACTACGATAGTAGATGTTTAAAGGGCATGGAGGGAGTGCACACCTGCAGAATGCAGCCCTCGCCGATAACACTGCCAGAAATGTCAACGTTGTTGAGCTTGGAAGGAGGCAGAGAGCGGGACTGAGTGAATATGGGAGCCGACCGATCATAGAACCTGCACGGACCAATTTTTCCAAGGTAGAGACAGACACATGAGAAATTGACCAGGAGACGGTGCAAGGAGTACGACCAACATGCGAGGAACAAAGAAAGACATAACACACGATGAAGGTGGGAGTAACAACTTAATCGCAGTGGCAGGCATTTCTCATTGCAAGAAGAGGGTTCGGCTTGACGAGTCCATGTTGGCAACTCTACTGACGTGAAGGAAGAATACGGATTGGTGAGTCTACAATGAATCTGACCAAAATATCGCTATGAAGTGTGCCTCACGTCAAGGGGGGGTTAGGCTTGGTGAGTCTGAGGTTGGCGTAGTAGAAAGCATCAATGGACCCTATGTCCTCCCAGTACCCATCATATATGCAAATTGGCACCTCCTACACTCGAACACTAAAAACAAGATGCGACTTGACTCACGTGAAGGGGGGGTTAGGCTTGGTAAGCCTGAGGTTGGCATGGTAGAACGCATCAATGGAGCCAATGTCCTCCCAGTACCCATCATATATGTACGCTTGCACCTGATGCAGTCAATACACACCCGGGGAGAATGGGGGAAGGGGAGTGGTTGAGTGAGATAGGGAGGAGTTGACGAGGGGGAAAGGGAGGCAAGCGGAGGGAGGGAGGGAGATGGGTGTGGAGGAGAAGACTTTACAGCCACCACAAGTACAATCAAGTACAGTACGGTGCAGCCAGCCTACCTTGGAGCCGTTGGCACAGGCAGCAAGAACGAACTCTCAACCAAAGCCATTGGCTTCTAGGAACCTGCTTCAGCAACAGTATTGAGGCAGGAGCTCCTGGCTGATCATGATTTAGAGTTTGCTCAATCTAGCTCACCTTCGAATCGTTGGCACAGGCAGCATGACAAGTGGTTTCTAAGAATTCTCAAAAGCTCACCTTGGAGCCGTTGGCACATGCTGCAGGGATGACCTCCCGGCCGAAGTCATTGGCGTCTGCGAACCGCTCCAGCAGCAGGCGGGGCAGGGCGTCCCTGCTAACCATGATTTGAAGCCTGACTCAATCGTAGCTCACCTTGGATCCATTAGCACAGGCCGCAGGGATGACCTCCCGGCCGAAGTCATTGGCATCTGGGAACTGCTCGAGCAGCAGGCGAGGCAAGGCGTCCCTGCTGATCACGTAAATCCCCATGGACGCGATGAACGGCCGCTTCGCTGCCTCCTGGGGATCCAAACCCACGCTCGTTGTGTCCACCTGACAATTTGAACAAAATCAATACCAACCACGCTTGAGACAGCGTCAGCTTCTCGTAAGTAAGAACAGGCCAATCACGCTTTCATGAAAGACGGTACCAGAATTTATTCGTGCTGATGGAAGAATTTGGGTAGTGCCCAAATTATTCTTTCAGTTGGTGACCACTGTTCGTACCTTCATCTTGTCGAGCTCTGCTCCTTGAGGCTTCTCCGCAAACTCAGTCACACGCCCATCCTCATCAACCTTCATGATTCCAAAGGACGTCGCCCGCTCTCTGAACAAGTCCAGCCAACAAGAAGCGTCAGATAACCATCTCTCCCGAAAGGCAAGCACTTGCAGAAGAGAATCGTCTTGTGAGATCAAATCCCTGAAATTTGATTCCCTCTACCTGTCAACAGGGATCGCGGCGACAGTGATGTCAGCACCAGCACTCCGGTGGCACTTGATTATTCTGCGGTAGTCGCAGCGGTACAGCTGGTCCGCCGCGAGGATCAGATACTCCTGCGGGTTGTGGTCCTCCAGCAGCCATATGTACTGACGCACCGCATCCGCCGTTCCCTGCACGAAGTGCACACAAAACAGTGCACAGAACACACAGAATCGGGAAGGTTAGAATCACAAAGCCTCTGCTCTTGATGGTACGGCTGGTCGGCCGCGAGGATCAGATACTCCTGCGGGTTGTGGTCCTCCAGCAGCCATATGTACTGACGCACCGCATCCGCCGTTCCCTGTCATAAAGTCACCACTCAGAATCGGGAGAATTGAATAAAGGTAAGAAATTGATGTGTTTCCGCTCGGGGCTTCGTTACATCATGTAGTATGATTATCTATTTTACATAAAATTGACTATGATTATTGCTCATTTTCTTAACACTCAAGTGCCAGTCGAAACCCACGGGTCCTTACCTGGAACCAGTTTGGATTATCCGGGCTCTGCTCCGCGGCGAGCACTTCCACAAAGCCCTTGGTCTGGTAACCACTCAAGCACGGCGCATATGCTGTAAAGCAGTGACGGTTGAGCGAGGCGGAATTGACCTGCGAAACGCGAAAAGGAGCTAACGCTGAGAGAAAATCATGAAGGATGCTAACTTTGAAGAAATAGCATGAATTTACTGTTGCAACGAACGAACGTCATGATCGAAAGCACGTGAACAACAGCGAGCAAAGACAAACCATTCACCCAGTTAAGGTCTGTCTGCCGCTGTGGGGTTAAAATAGCAGCAAAAGTTACCTGAGTGAGAACGTAAATCCGATCTATGTCACTATTCAAGCAGTTGCTAACGGGGATGTCGATCAGCCTGTAATTCGCGGCCAACGGCACAGCAGGCGTTGCTCGCTCCTTCGTCAACGGGTAAAGCTTTGCGCTCGCTCCCCCACCCAGAATCACGGAGAGCACACTCTGCGTGACAGAAACAAAGCACCAAAATTGCATGAGACGGTTCATATAAACCATTCACGAAAACAAACGACACGGAGGGTGAGTTTAACCCCAAGGACGCACCTTGTTGGGCTCTGGATCAAGACAGGCATCAGTAAACGCTTCCGAATCGGAAATAGCCCGGATTGTCACTGGCCTCATCAAAACTTTAGATTTGCTGGTGCCATTCTTCTGCTGGACTGGAAGTTGTTGAGAGACGGCAGTGCTCCAAGAAATCTTGGTCCCACCCGACGAAGAGGTAAGTCTATGTTGACAAGCGAGCTGTTTGTTCTGCTGGCTTGCTCTCACAAGGCAGGAGCCCGTGGCATAATTCGCGGCAGCCATGTGCCTAGGAATGAGACCAGACGCAAAAGAATTTGCAAATCCTCTCGACTTCGTGAAGGAACTCTTGAGATCTTGAATGCCCGCGTGATGCACAGAAATAAAGCACAACCGGCAACACCTTGACCACGAAATGTAATAGCTGGAACCTGGAAGCTCATAGTCAAATGTGGTGCTGAGGATGCGTGTACTGAATAGTCAAGTCCAACGAAAGATTCTCCACAGCCATAATGCCTTGGCCCAGAGCCTTTGCGAAGGATGTCGTCGGTGCTGCGAGATTTGCGACAGCTGACAAGGCACGCAATTTGCTGGAAGAAGGAGTTTCGCGACGGTTGTTCGCGAAGAGATCTCAGGCCTTCCAGTCAATGGGCATGGAGATTCCGAGGTTATTGGCGCGCCTCGGTGATGTACAAGTCCTTGATTGGGGGACGCCAGCGTGGGGCATGGGGTGGACAATTCATGGTGACCATCCACATCTCTTGTATGACGTGGCACGTTTGAACAAATCATACGCTTTGTTGGAACGGGGCGAAAAAAAGAACAAGAATAGCAAATTGTTTATTTCATTAGAAGAGACTGCCTTATCCTTGCATTAGCTGCTTTAGCAGAACAGAGCTACACATCCGTTTCTCAAATAACCCTTCTCTTCAAGCATATCCAGTCAAGAAGGTGCACAGTTTTATCACTTGCCACTATTTCCAACATAACTGCGGCACCAACGTTTTTCATGACACATATTCAGACACCCAAATGATCCCAAGCTCTGCATGCATTCCTCCACAGCAAATAGTTTGAATCAACAAGCTCTCCATAGCTGCCTCAAAGAGGATGCCACCTAAACTAGCTCATCTACCTCCATAATCATCACATCTCATACACCATGCTTCCAGTTACATCATCGAGGGGATGGGATAGGATGGGATGAGGCACTGACGTCAGGCCATTCTGCTTGATTGTCAATGGTCCAACGGGAGAGCGATCACATGAGAAAAACTTCTGTTCGTAGGATGACTGATGCAGGAACTAGGGGGCTTAGATGTACAAAAGAGAGGGAAGTCCCCCTCATTTTGTGGCTAGCCCATGGCATACTTGGCTGTCCAAGTACGTGCGGTTGCTTCATACTTTTGCCTGTCTGTCTTATACATGTGCGCAATTTCAGGAACCAGAGGATCATCCGGGTTCGGATCCGTCAACATGGAGCAAATCGACAAAAGAACCTGCGGAGGACGGAAGCATAAGTATTAGAAGAGAACAGCAGATAGTGACAACATCGAGCAAAAGCCTCATTTAACTACCTTAGAAATGGTCAAGGCCGGACTCCACTGCTCCTTCAGAATGTCCAAGCAGATGCTCCCGTTGCTGTTGATGTTGGGATGAAATACCTTCGTCCTGAAGGCGACCTGCAATATTGGAGTGTAATGGAGCAACAGAAGGTAGTTTTGAAACTGCGGATTTTCCAGACAACAAGTCCAGATGATCTTGATTGTCGACCAGGACTGCCGAAAGTGACTCAATAGGGTAACTACGAAGAACCATATGGTAGAAATCAGCAGACAATACAGATCAGACGTCGGGATTCAAAACACAAGGATTCAGGGTAACCACGAAAAACCGGATGGTAACTAATCGGCAGACAATACAGATCAACATCGCGATTCGATTCACAGATTCAGGTCGTACCTTCGGAGGCTTAAAGGGGTAGTCGGGAGGAAAGTGTATGGTAACCAGGAAGACACCACCAGCGTAAGGACTATCTGGAGGACCCATGATTGTCGCTTGCCAATGAAACATGTCTTCGGCAACTGGACCTGCACTGCATGATGTAGGAGGGTCTCTCTGAAGATCTTTCAGCTCCTTAAGAATCCTTTTCGAGGCCATCGCGGGCCCTCCCCCAAGCCGAAACTAATATTAACACCGGTAATAAGGCGTTGACAAAGAGTCTGCCAAGCAATAGGTGACGAGAACAGTTCAAGCCTGAAGGCCGAAGCACACAAGTTCACAGATGCTAGGGATACCAGATGCTTGGGCTGCAGGGGGAAGCGTTGTAGGGAAAGCTGGGAAGGATGGGAAGGATGAGAGGGAACTGATTGAAGCTTTGAGTGTAGTCGCAGAAGCCTGCTTCTATCGCCAGCGGCGGATCTGACACGCACCGAGGACAGTACACGCCTCATAGGACTGGCTGCCTCTTGCGACTCCTGGGTTCGGTGATGACCACAGGAAACTGCATCGCAGGGCTACTCGGGGGGGTTTTGCGAACTGCTTCGCCAACACTGGACCTTCCTTCCACACAAAACCAGATTGATCCACAACTCTACACTCGACCCTGGAACAAACAGCTACTCTTTTAAACATAAACCTAATCCACATGTTTCCATTTGGAGTATAAAAAGCGTTCTCATGTTGGGTATGCAATGTGTATCACAACAAACACATTGCTTGTAGATGCAATACAAGCTGCGTGACCATGTTACTACCGAACCACATCGGTCTTACTGACGTCCCAAGCGCAAGTTTCTTGCAACCGTGCCGCAACATCCTTGAGAACCTTCTTCCTGTGCATCCTAAATTGAACAGCTGTAATTCTCTCCTCCACCATCGGCTGCACCTCCTCACACCAACGCTCCACCCTCCCCCCACGCCCTGCCGACTCACACTTGCGAAGCTCTTCCAGCACCACTTCATCTTCCTCCAGACTCGTCGGGAACTGCTTCAACCGAGCCTCGACAAACAGCCGGACGGTTTCAGCAGCAGCTTTCAAAGCGGGTGTGAAGGAAGAGGAAATCGGGAGGAGGTGGTGGCAGGCAGAGGTGGAGAGGGCCCAGCCATAGTGAATGGCAGCACTGGCCAGAGATGTGTAGTCTGGTTCTGAAGTTGCTGTACACAGGGAAAAGAGTGGAGGGGAATAGCAGGGAGAGATGGTGCATTATGAGATGCCTGAAGGAGGAGGTGGAGAGGGCCCAGCCGTAGTGAATGGCAGCACTGGCCAGAGATGTGTAGTCTGGGTGTGGGTTACGGGAGGCTCCATCTTGGGAGAGGGTGGGGGAAAACAGCAGGGGGAGATGGTGGGTCAGGTGGGACCAGCAGCTTCAGAGACAACTGAAATCTGGCAAAACAGGAAGGTGGTGGGCGTATGAGATTAGAGGGGCGAGTTCGAGAAAGTGGTGGCATGGGCCATGCAACATCCTTGTTGCCATGGCATGGCACTATGGCACGCCATACCCGTTCTCACCCTGTGACACATGGACTGCGTGCCAGCTGGCAGCCAAGGCAGCGAGCAGATTTGGCTCCACTATGCCGCCCGCCCACACAGACACCCCCACGCTTTCGTCCTCCTCCTTTACAAGCACCTCCTTTACAAGCACTTGGTCTACCAGCCCCCGGCCTTTGCCACTAACACGATCCATTTGGGCTCTCCTTGCTTCCCATCTGGCACTCCTCCGCTCTATCCGCTGTCGCAGCTGGAGCTGTGGCAGACTATTCCCTTCAGCGTACGTCCCCCCAGCCTCTCGAGCCTTCACCACTTCACCCACTGCTGCTGCTGCGGCCCGCCACATCACACGCACTGCACCCCTTTTTCTTCTAATGCCACCCTTTCCTCCCACACCCAATTCCTTGTCTCCTGGAAGCAGCAAGGAGTTCCCCGTGCCCCACACACGCAGCAAACCCGTCCTCAGATCCACCTCCCCCGGACGAACCTCCCCACGGCTCCCTTCCCCCATCTCTCTCCCCTCATCCTGCCGATCCAGGTGATACACCACCGAGGCTACGGTTCGGAAGGCTCGGGAGAGGTTCGGGAAGAGCCGGACGTGGTCATAGGGATTGTCGTCGAGAACAAAGCCGTAGCCCAGCAGCAGGTGGTGGTTGGGCTTGTAGCCATACACTGTGAAGAGCTCTGCACCGCGCTGAACCTCTTCCCTGGCGTAGAAGTCAAAACTGCTCTGTTGCACCTGGTGTGGTGATAAGGAGCAATAGGACACAAGGGTCACACATAGGGATTGACGGGGGGAGGTGCGGAGCAGCCCAGCAGCAGGTGGTGGTTGGGCTTGTAGCCGAACACTGTGAAGAGCTCTGATCCACGCTGTATCTCCTCCCTGGCATAAAAATAAAAACTGCTCTGATGCACCTGGTGTCATACGGAGAGATGGATAGATTGTCAGAGGTCCACTGGTGATCCCTGATTGATCCTAGGGAAGGGTTACAGGCACGTTGGCCTGGGGGGTTATGGGCGCACTCACCCGCTACACAAACAAGCCCTTTTATCCCAGTGGTTAGTGGTTGGGATATTCACATAGATGGCAGATAGGAATTGCTAAGTCTTGGCCTTGAACAGACTGGGGATTTATTGAGTAGGACAGCACACCTTGTAGTGTGCGTTGTGCGGATGGTGGTGGTCGATCAGCTCTGCAATGTGCACCAGAGCCATGGGCTCGCCCACAAACCGTGTGGGAGGCGCTGCAAAAATAAGCTTATAGAACGGCGTGCATACATTGTACTGTGCATTGTGCGGGTGGTGGTGGTCAATCGCACCGCAGTTTGCAATTCATGTGTTGCTATAAATCAGGCTACATCGTACTTTAAACAACTACAGATACTAGAAGTACGCGCACGCACCTTGTATTGAGAATTATGTAGGTGGTTATTGTTGACTCTTATAACGCTATGCGGAAGCGATTAAACTGGAACTACAAACCAAAACTTAGCAACACTTAACATCACTTACAGCCCTTAGAGTATGTCAGTTGGTCACCTTCCAGCCAAGGGCGTTATAAAAACGCAAGTGAGTAGTTATGCCTTGCTTATGCTTGTAGAACAAGTAAACTGGTCGAGCAGAGCTTCGGCAGCATCAAGGTAATGTTTCTACTCTCGTCAATACGAAGTAGTAGAATTCAAGCTTGAAAAGCGCAAATGCATTGGATTGATTTCGACAGGTACAAGCACACATTTATATAAAGTCTACGCAGAGACAGGAGAAACTATAAAACAATTGTTTAACTAGCTCGCAAGATTTCGCCATGCTGTATCTTGAAAACGGTTGCACAACTCCTTGAGCATTTGGCTATATCCTCCTGTTGTTAAAAACTGTCTTCAAATTGCACTTGTAACAATCGCCCCTGCTGACTCAAATGTGTACACTCATGAGGCTCGCATGTGGCTCCAATGTAGCTCTAACGGCTTCATAGTTATGTAACGGTTTTTACCATTTGAAAAACGGAGTAACCGAAATGTACCTCCGTCGAAATGATTCCGCAAGGCGACGTGACATTCGTGAGAATTTTCCCGTCCCGTGAGTCAGCACGGGATACAGTTTTTCAACTGTAATCCCGAGCACCCCCTCGTGCCACACGCACGATCGAGATTTTTTCTCGGTCGTGCTGTACAGCCCGCCATGATCGAAATCATGCGCGTGTACAGTGCGGGACAAGGCCGAAATTGGCCCTGTCTTGTTGCGATCGTGCAGTACAGTGCACGCGCAACAAAACGTGGCACACTCCCGAACCCTGAGGGGCCACACGCGCGTATCAGGACCCACACGTGGTCCTGATTTTCGCACCCTTTGGCTCGCGCGAAACAATCAAACAGCACCCCCCTTGACCAACATTCGGCCCCCCAGTGACACCACTCGCTCGCATGACACCCCAATGATCCTCGCATGAACAATTCGAGGCTCATGGGACTTTCATGGGTCGCTCACATGAGCCTCGCATGAAACACAGTCCCATGCGAACTTCGTTCGAGCTCCATAGGGTCTTCATTTGAGCACGATATTGGAGGCTCATTTGTGCCCTTCATGAGGGGCTCATTTGAGCGCTTCATGAGAGGCTCATTTGAGCGCTTCATGAGGGTCTCATTTGAGCGCTTCATGGGAGCTTCATGAGAACAGTGAAAACGAAACTGAAAATGCACAAACACAAAATGCAATTACGAAAGAAAATGAAACACACAAAACACAAGGACAAATGCGCACAGAACATGAACAGAATGAGAATGAAAAAATGCGCACACACACAGAATGCAAAATGCGACGCAGGTGGCTGGTTGATGTGCAAAAATATTTTTTTGCACCCGACAGTTATGATCAATCAGCTCTTCAATGGGCACCAGTGCCACAGGCTCGCCCACAAGCCATAATTGAGGTGCCTTGTTCAATGCAGCACACCTTATGAACGGCACACATACCTTGTACTGCGCGTTGTGCGGGTGGTGGTGGTCAATCAGCTCAGCAATGGGCACCAGAGCCATGGGCTCGCCCACAAACCGCCGCCTCTCCGACGCAGGCAGCGCTAACAGCTGCTCCAACATTCCCCCCCTCCCCCTCTCCTGCTCCCTCTCTTCCTCTTGGGGAAAGCTTGAGGTGTCAGTGTGAGGCTCGGCGGAGGTTCGGCGGGCAGGTGCGGGAGTGGAGAAGGCTCGGGAGTTCATGATGGCGAGCGCCCAGAGGAATTGGTGGAGCGACGCGAAGGCGATTGCTGGCGGGCGGCATAGTTTGTACTGTTGCTCGTAGTAGTCACGGACCATGCGAATCTGGTGGAGTGTGGGACGGGAAAAAGGATCGTGAATGACAAATCAAGGGGTGAAAGTGTTGCGAATGGGTGAAAGGGATCCCAAGGGACATGGGGAGCAGAATGGGAGGAGGGAGAAGGGGGGGAATGAAAAGCCGGGAGGAGGAAGGCAGTCCTCCGATAAACTAGAAGCCTACTTCTGAGCTGAGCTGCCTCCATGGCAAACTTTTGAGACGTCTCAATCAATAGAAGCCTACTTCTGAGCTGAGGTGCCTCCATGGCAAATTATTATGCTCTTCAGAGGCGAGAGAGGAGCGGAGGCCGGAGGAATAAAATGACTATGTAATCGGGGAAGGAATCGGGTGAAAAGGTTGGTTGCTTTGCCTGCACACACTCGCATACTCTCTCGACACTCACTTGCTCTCCCCACTCTTGCTTACTCCCTACTTACCCGTTCCACAAACGAAGGTGATTGTAGCTCGTCCAGCGTGACCGGATCAAACAGGTACGGCAGAGGCACGTAGGCCGGCAGGATCTGCAGGTACGGCCACCACTCCGAGCCTCGCCCCCGAGACTGCTCCCGAAGCAGCCATGCAGCTCCGGCAGCGAGCGTCCACACAGGGTTGGCGTAGGGAGCGACTTCCTCCGCCATAAGGTCGGTTGATACCCAGAGGGCGCGAGGGATGGAGAGCAGCAGCTGGCCTTTCTTCTTTGGCTGCCCTGCCACCACTGTCAGCTGCTTCCTAGAGAGGAGATGGGTTGTGTTGAGGGGGGGAAGATGCGTTGGGGGGCCGCAGAGAAAGAGGGAGCGGCGGATGAGGACGGGCGGGAAACAACAGTGGGAGGAGGAGGTACGCTCCTGCGATTTGAAACGTCTCAAAACTCGCCGTCTCAAAGCCCTTGAGAATTCTCGAAGGTGCCTCCAAAACAGGGGGAGGGGAGGAGGTACGCTCAGAAGTATTTTGAGGCAGCCAGGAGAGAAGACGAGTTTCCATGCATAGCCGTGATTCGTTTTAGCCTGGCTCACCTGGATCGTGCTTTGGCCTGCAGCAAAGAGGCTGTAAACCCCCCGTGAGCTTTTAGAGAAGGAGAATAAGAGCTGTTGGGCTCTTGACGGAAATGCACCTGACAGGGGAGGCGAGGGGAGGGAGGAGGAACAAGTAGGAAGGGTGACTTTTAGACTCAAAAATTGCTTGGAGAGAAGGAGAATGTCAAGGGCTATCCGGCCCCATCCAAGGTAGTGCTGTCAGGCCTAGTTTTGATGCGCCTCAAAACTAGGCCCCATCCAAGGCAAGGTAGTGTTGTCAGGCTCTTGACGAAAATGCACCTGACTGACAGGGGAGGGGATGGAGGAGGAACAGGAGGAACAGGTTTGCAGCCTATTAAAAGGGGCAGGAGGGAAGGAACATTTGCGCTTGCTGCGGGGACTCGGAAATCGATTATGAAAGAACGACTCGGTCAAGTTGACAACCCATTTTCTCAGTTACCTTTGAGAGCTTTCACAAGTACCTTAAAGGCGCCTCTCAAGTGAGGTAGAAAAGTGACTTCATCACGTGATGGCATCTCAATTTGCGAATAGAGAGTCGTATTTTGAGACGCCTTAAAAGCCACCCAGAACCACAAAGGCGCCTCTCAACTTTTGAGACGTCTCAAAAGGCGCCCTCTCAACTCAGGTAGAAGAATGCCGTCATCGCGTGATGACGTCGCTAGTAGCAAGCAAGTAGTAATCACTCAGGAGTGAGGAGTACCTCGAAGGTGGACCGTGGCTTGCCAAAGTCAGGGATTCCCCTCGCCCGCACCCACTCCAAAAACACCCTCAGCTTCTCCTCGTCGCTCCTCTCCTCCTGCTCCTCCTCCGCCTCCTGATGCTGCTCTCGCGCAGTAGCTATCTCGTCCAATCGCAGGTCGTATTTGGGGTCGCAGGCAAGCAGCAGCCAATCAGAGGCGTCAATCAGCACACGCTTCTTATTGGCCCGCACCTGCAGCACCTGCTGTACCTCCTCCAACGCTCCCATGAACCACGGCAGGCACAGCTGGGCGGGGGAGAGAGGGGAAGGGGGAAGCAATATGCGGGGGAGGGTAGACCTTTTGTACCTGCAGCACCTGCTGTACCTCCTCCAACGCTCCCATGAACCACGGCAGGCAGAGCTGATGAGGGGAGGAGGGCGCGGCAGGGGGAAGACATGGGGAATAGAGTGTAACTGGGACAGAGGAGCACGCTTCGTATTGGCCCGCACCTGCGGCACCTGCAGCGCCTGCTGTACCTCCTTCAACGCCCCCGTGAACCAGGGCAGGCAGAGTTGATGAGGGGGGGAGAGGAGACAAAGGGAGTGTGGCTGGAACAGAGGGACTGGCTTCTTGCTGGCCCGCAACTGAAGCACCTGCTGTACCTCCTCCAACGCTCCCATGAACCAGGGTTGGCACAGCTGAGGGGATTGAATTTGGGTGGTTGTGAGGAAAAAAAAGCGGGGGAGTTAGAAAAAACAGGAAATAGCCCGACTAGAATACCGGCCACATGGCACGTGCAAAACACCTGCTGTACCTCCTCCAACGCTCCCATCAACCAGGGTAGGCACAGCTGATGAGGGAAAAAAACAGGAAATAGCCCGACTAGAATACCAGCCACATGGCACGTGCAAAACACCTGCTGTACCTCCTCCAACGCTCCCATCAACCAGGGTAGGCACAGCTGATGAGGGGAAAAAACAGGAAATAGCCCGACTAGAATACCAGCCACATGGCACGTGCAAAACACCTGCTGTACCTCCTCCAACGCTCCCATCAACCAGGGTAGGCACAGCTGATGAGGGGAAAAAACAGGAAATAGCCCGACTAGAATACCAGCCACATGGCACGTGCAAAACACCTGCTGTACCTCCTCCAACGCTCCCATCAACCAGGGTAGGCACAGCTGATGAGGGGAAAAAACAGGAAATAGCCCGACTAGAATACCAGCCACATGGCACGTGCAAAACACCTGCTGTACCTCCTCCAACGCTCCCATCAACCAGGGTAGGCACAGCTGATGAGGGGAAAAAACAGGAAACAGCCCGACTAGAATACCAGCCACATGGCACGTGCAAAACACCTGCTGTACCTCCTCCAACGCTCCCATCAACCAGGGTAGGCACAGCTGATGAGGGGAAAAAACAGGAAATAGCCCGACTAGAATACCAGCCACATGGCTCGTGCCGAAGCATGTCCTTTGAGATGCACAATCATCGTACCCGTTTTCTCTCCCAGGTAAAGTAGGGCAGATAGCACCTACTCCAGATGGGGTCAAATACCACCTACCCCAGATGGGGTCAGATAGCACCTACCCCAGATGGGGTCAGATAGCACCTACCCCAGATGGGGTCAGATAGCACCTACCCCAGATGGGGTCAGATAGCACCTACCCCAGATGGGGTCAGATAGCACCTACCCCGATTGGGGCCAGATAGCACCTCCCTTTGATGGGGTCAGATAGCACCTACCCCAGTTGGGGTCAGATAGCACCTACCCCGGATGGAGCCTCTTCCAGCCGCCCAGCATCGCGGTACCGCCTGCAGATGGCTGCTGACGTCAGCATGAACTCGTCCTCGCTGACAGACGAGGAGAAGCCGCCCAGAAGCTTCTCAACCAGCCGCCTCAGCATGCCTGCTGCCGCCCGCAGCGCTGGTAAGAGGTCGGCGACAGGTGGCGGTATGTGATTGGTTGAGGAGGCACGGGATGGTGATGGGGCTGGAGAGGAGGAGGAGGAGGAGGAGGAGGAGGGGAGGAAGAGCGGGTGGGAGGGGAGGGAGAGCAGAGGCATGTGCGTGCAGGTGGTGGTGCCGTCCACATTCCACGCCAGTGCCACGCTCACCCGCGCTAGCAGTGCTGGGTCGGGCTCTGGTGGGATGGGGGGGGGGGGGGGAGATGAGCGAGGAGTGTGGAGAACCAGGTGAATATAGAGATGGGCCGTATGCAGACATGAGGTGTAAGTAATGACAGACCAGAAAAGCATGAGACACAAGCTAGGCTCCCACTAAGGTCCAAACAAAGGCGACCGGACAAGGGTATCGGTTCGATTTTGGGTTCAATTATAATAAAAATGTGTCCAGTGGTTTCAACGGTACAGGGTCTCACCTGTGCCAGTGGAGCGCAGATAGGCAAGCGCAGTGAGGAAAGCAAGAAGCTCGGGGTCGATCCGCCCTTGAGGATAGGCAAAGAGCCCCTCTGCATCCACCTGCCCTGCCACTCCTTCCTCCTTTCCTTCCCTTCTGTTCTCCTCGTATTCCACCCCCAACATAAAGCGTCTCTCTCCCTCCTTCTTCTTCTTCTTCCCCTGTTGCTTCTGTCGCCGCATCTCCCAAAACCACATCTGCTCCATTCCACGCCACTTGCTACGCTCTTCTCCTCGTTCCCCTCTCCCCCCCTCTCGTGCTGCTGTTTCGACCTTCCGCTCCCATGCACCTGAATTCTGAGAGTCCTCAGTGACTGCTCCCGCCCCTCGGGCAGTGTTCAAAACAAATTTTTTCACCTCCAAAACTGCCCGAATTACACAGTCCTCCAGCGCCGCTGCCCGCTCCAGAAACTCTTTCTCGGGCAGTTTGGCGGGCAGGCCGGTGGAGGGAAATGCGAGGGAGGAGCGGAGGGCGTGGGCGAGAGAGGGGAACAGAAGGACCCGGTCCAAAGCCGTGTCCTGCGGAACAGTACCAGTGCTTAAGTAAACATCATCGTTAGAGAGCAGCGGTGGTGGAGATGAAGGTAGGAGTGCTGCAGATTTCATGTCTGTGTCTGTATGTTGAGTAGGAGCGGTTGACGTTGGCGTTGGCGTTGGGGCGAGGAAGAGAGGAGAGTGTGCCGAGATATCCTCACTGGCATACACCTTGATTGAATCTCTAAACACCTGCCTTGCGTGGAAGGGAGGATGGGAATGTTTGAAGAAAGGAACATGTGAGAAATAGTTACATAGTTTAAAAGTGACTCCAATTGTGCCGGAATGTCCTCGCTGGCATACACCTGGATTTAATCTCTAGACACCTGCATTGTATGGAAGGAAGGATGTGTGCGTGGTTGGCAGAAAGGAAGGGAATGAAGGAGTGGCAAGTCATGTGTCAAGATGTCACGACTGACTATTATCAGGACCAACATACGGCTCTTGTCCCTCTATCTGGTTTTTGAGAATTCTAAAAAACCAGCTCGTATCAAACTGACTACTATCAGAATGCTTTTGAGTCGACTCAAAACCTAGCTCGTATCAAGCTGGCTACTTTCAGAATCAACAATTGGCTCTTATGCCCCTCTATCCGCCCATCCTTGTCGCCCCTCCCTCTCATCCCCCTCACTTTTCCCTTCATCCCCCCTTCCCCATCCATCCTTCACCCACCTGCCACTGCACGTTGCTTCCACCTCCCTCAGCTGCACCCATCACTGCTGCTGCTTGTGCTGCCATCCCTGCCGCTGCTGATGCTGCCGCTGCCGCCGGTGCTGCTGGTGCTGCTGCTGCTCCCAGTGTTGTTGACTGGACAGGAGCAGGGCGGCTCATGAGGTGCAGCAGGGGCACTATCCCCAGAGCGGCAGGTGGATTGTCAGGTGAACTGTCAGGTGAACTGTCAGGTGAACTGTCAGGTGAACTGTCAGGTGAACTGTCAGGTGAGCTGTCAGGTGAACTGTCAGGCGAGCTGTCAGGTGAACTGTCAGGTGAACTGTCAGGTGAGCTGTCAGGTGAACTGTCAGGCGAGCTGTCAGGTGAACTGTCAGGTGAGCTGTCAGGTGCTGATGCGAAGTTGCCAGGTGAACTGTCAGGTGCTGATGGCGGTGGAGCTTGGGGCAGCGGCAGGGACAAGGAGAGAGCAGCAGCAACAGCTTGAAGAAAGCTATCAAAAGACATGTCCGCGTTCTCTGCAGTGGTCTGGCTTACAGTGGCGTTCACCCATGCGTGGTATTCGTCTTGGTACTGCTCCACCCGCTTGTCCAGCTGGCACGGATGAGGCCCACAGAGTGACAGGGCACAAGAAAAGTATGGAGCACGTCAAGGGGCAGATTCTTTATTTTGAGCACGTCAAGACAGTGATCCACATTCAGCCTGCGCAACGACTCAGCTTTGTCTAGCTAGGTCACCCTGACAACCAAGAGTGTTTTTCAGAATTCTCAAAAACACCCTGCAGCATGACTCAGCTTTGTCTAGCTACGTGACCCTGTCAACCAAGAGTCACCTACCTGGTCCACGGCTCAAATTCGTCTCACCAGGTCAATGAACGGTCCAGATTGGCCTTACCCTGTTGATCAATGGCTTGTAGCTGAGCTCCATTCGCAGGTCGTCATCCAGCATGAGAGGCAGCGACCTCGCCAGACTCACGGGCGGCAGCAGCACTCCTGCCAGTGCCGCCCAAGACAAACCCTCTGCCGCCCAGGACGGACTCTCTGCCGCCCGTTCTCCTTTTGCAGCTGCTTGCAGCAGCATACAGCCAGCCAGATGGCCCTCAGGTGAAAGCTCAGGAGGAGAGGACGAAGAAAAAGATGCGCAGGCAGAGGAGGAGAGGGTGAGGCGGAGGGGAATGGAGAAGAGGCGCTGGCCCTTTGGAATGGTGCGCGCTGATTGTAAAGATGGGTGGTACCTGTGTGATTGTAAAGAGGGAGGGAGGGACCGGGGAGTGAGAGAGGCGATGAATCTCTGACCAGCACTAGAATGCAATGTGCGGCAGATGATAATGATTGACCAATACCTGTACTCTCGTGGGTCGTCGTTGTCTTCTCTAAGGTGACTTTTGAGTCGACTCAAAACTCACCTCCTTAGATGATAATTTTTTACCAATACCTGTACTCCGGTGGGTCGTCGTTATCTGCTCTCTCTTCGTCTTCCCCGTCTTCCCCTTCCTCCTCTTCCTCCTCCTGTGCAGCCATTTCTATTCTCAGAATCTTGAGCTGCAAGAGGAAACACAGCCAAACCAGAATTCAGCGAATTAAGATTCTTCAGTTTTCAAGACGAGTGTCAACTCGAAGGAAGGATGGCAATGTCTAGAAGAAGGAAATCAGATCCAGAAAGGACTACAGTGGCGGATTTCTTTCACTCACGCGAACAGGGCTACCAGGAGCTGCCACGTCACCTTCCACTCCGTTCTCTCGCAGCCAATCAAGATACTCCATGAATCCCGACTCTTTTAAGAGTTCAGCATTTGGATATTCATCCAGTTGCTCATCCTCGTTACTGTCATCCTGTTCCTCGTTACTGTAACCCTCACCAGTTCCTATCGTCACATCCTCATCGTTCTCCCCTCCCTCTACCCCATCCGCGTCCACGTCAGCATCATCTAGCAGCCAATCGAATCCTTCCTCCATCCTCCTTCCGCTGCCCCCTCCGCTGCTCCCCCAACGTTCCCCTGGCGCAGCATCATAGCGGGGGAAGCCGTCAGCATCAGCAGGGGCGGAACAGCTTCCGCGTGTGGGGGAGGACGAATGTCTGGCGGAACATGACGTGGGGGAATCGCCGCCGGCGCGCGGAAGAAGAGCGGCGCAGAGGATGAGCGCGAGGAGGACGCAGAGGACGAGGGGAAGATACGATGCGCGGAAAACTCTGGCATTTCTCCGCGGATACTCGAGTTTGCTCATGGTGTCCAATGGGGGATCAGTAACACCATGAGTAATTTTCGGATATCACCTCGCCGCCCCCCGGATGCTGAGAGTGTGGGAGAGGAGATTTGCTCTACGCACATAAGATTCCGGCTGGAAAGAAGAACCTGGGTTCTGTGAATTCACAACTGAACATGACAATGCGTGTGACGGTACAAAAGGGTGTCACAAACAATGCTGGAAATTGTCAAGTTTGTGCGATCCCTGTTCGGCAACTTCTGAGGAATGGAATGTGTTGATTGAACGGGGAACGAGCTCGAGTGCAATTTGCTGTTGGATGGGCGTAGAACGAGAAACTTGAACCGTAACGTTCCGAGTATCATGGGCTTGCAATCCTGACACCAACATGACACCGATTTGACTTGATTCTGGTTGTCTGATCTGCTGTTCGCACTACAGAGTAACGCGAACGCAAGGCGTAGAATTTATGTTTTCTTTTTCAGCAGAACCAGTAGTGTAACAAACAGCGAGTCGCTCTCAATGCAGGGCATAAACTTATTTCCATCACTCCCATAATCTAGCCAGTTTCTTGGCCTGCCACACCTGCCGCCAATCCAAGCAAGCAAGCTAGCATTGGCTGGTATGCCCATAATGCCTGCCGAACTGGGCCATGGTGGTGGAAAGCTACCACGGAACACGTCTAACTCACGCGTCGCGTGAGGTTGCTATTGTATCTCACGTCAATGTCACGACGCTAAAGGAGCTCCTTGCAATGGCAGTGATAGCGACAGCAGCAGCAGCACTACCAATAGCATTACCAGCAGCGTTACCACCACCAGCAGCAGCAGCGCGACGCGCTCATTATGCTGCGCAACGTAGCAAACTTCGTAATTTTCGGCCTGGCGTCCTCCTTTGGCGGTTTCTCCTCTGCTTCTTTCTTCTCCTTCTCCCCTCCACCTTCCCCTCATCCGCTTCAGTCTGCGCGCAACCACAAGTAGCGCAAGCGGAAGCCGAAGCTGACTGGGGGCCCGCGCATGCGCGAGTTGCGCAGGAGGAGGCGGAAGACGAGGGATTTGAGTGGCTGTTGCGGGAGCTAGGGGGAGACAGCTCCGCGGAGGGCGATGAGGGGGAGGCGGAGGGTGGCGCGGAGGGATGGGAGGAAATCCCTCTGGAAGGTTCCGGGTTCGCGGAGCTGCTGACGTGGCTGCGCGCCAATGGGGCGGGCGGAGAAGTGATGGATGGGGAGAGCGTTCGAGTGAGTGGGACAGGCAGGGTTTGCTGCAATGCGCGCGAAATGTGCTAGTTTTGAAGCGACTGATCTGGCTGATCCGGCTACTCGGCTGATCTGGGTACTAAGCTGATCTGGCTGCCATTGCAGGGTATTTTTAAGAATTCTCTGTACGGGAGGTTCTTTCGTTGCTAATTCACTACCCCCTTTGCTGTCTGTGCACCCGCCCGTGCAGTTGAGAGTGTTTCGAACGGAACAGCCAGATGGCACTGGCTTGGACTGGCAGGGCGGGCAAGCGCTGCTGGCGGGAGGAGAGGGCGATGCCAGGGGGAAGAAGGGGGAGGGGGAGAAGGTGAAAGAGGAGGAGAAAGAGGAGGGGAAAAGGGACAACGGGGCGGTGCAGGAGAAGGAAGATGGGAAGGAGAAGGAGAGGAAGTACAGGCAAGTGGCAAGGCGGGTGCTTCTCCCTCTTCTTTCCCCACTCTCCTTTCCACAGCTGCTCGCAGCGGCCTTTGGCATGAGTGTCTCACACCTCCCTCTCCCTTCTCCTTCCCCTTCCTCACCTCACTCCTCCCTCTCCCCCTTCCCCATCTCTCCCCAACCCCTCCCAGGTTCTTTCCGCAGCTGCTTGCAGCAGCGCCCATAGGCGCGGGGCAGCTGCTGCTGCGCCTGCCCCTGCCGCTGCTGCTCAACGCCTCGCGCTGCTCCGCGCCCTCTCCCCTCCTCCCCCTCCCCCCGCGTCTCCCCTCTCCCCCGAAGGCGCCCTTGCCGCCTGCCTGCTGCTGCTGCAGCAACAGAAGGAGGGGAGCGAGCCGGGGGAGGGAGTGGCGGAGGGGGAGGGGGAAGGGGACGGGGGGAGGGAGGGGGAGAGTGGGGGAGCGCGGATGGCGCCTTCTCTGCTGCCGGCACTGCTGGGGTCCCGCACGGCCCACCTGCTGCCCATGCTCAGAAACGACCTCCCCCACCTGCCCCTCCTCCACCAGGTCCGCCCTCCCCCTCCCCCTCCCCCCCCTCTCCCCCTCGCCCTCCCAATCGCCCTCCCCCTCCCCCTCCCACTCGCCCTCGCCCTCACCCTCCCCCTCCCCTTCCCTACCCCTTCCCAACCCCCTTCCCCTTTGATCTGTTGTTCCGGTGCTCCCATTCGTCTTCTCCTTCCTTATACCCAACCCTTTCTCTCCCTTCCCACTCGTTGCCTCCCCACTCTCACTACCATCTGTCAACACTCACCACCAACCATCTGTCAACACTCACCACCAACCATCTGTCAACACTCACCACCAACCATCTGTCAACACTCACCACCAACCACCCTTACTCTCCGTGTCCTTGCACCTGCCTCTTGGTCCGTCCCCTTCTTTTGAGCGCTCTCACCCCATCAAGGCCATGAAAGAGAGGCAGCAGTACGAGCACGAGTACGCCAACTGGACCGCCACCCTCACTCTCCTTGTTCTTGGGTCTGCCCCTTCGTTTTTCCCCATCTTCTGGACGCTATCACACCACCAAGGCCATGAAAGAGAGGCAGCAGTACGAGCACGAGTATGCCAACTGGACCGCCAGCATTACCACCACCATCAGCAGCAGCGGCGCTACTAGCAGCGACAGCCGCGCCATGTCGCTGCCGTCGCTGCAGCAGTTGCTGGCGACGGTGGCAGCCGTGAGGACGCTGGCTCTTCCCATGCGCCTGCCGCCCCTGCAGGAGGGGCAGCGGGAGGCGGAGGAGCAGGCGGCGGAGCAGGGGGGCAGGGGGAGGAAGGGCGGGAAGAAGGGCGGAAGGAGGGGAGGGAAGGGGCGGAAGAAGCAGAAGCAGCGGCGGTTTGAGCTGACGGTGGTGCCTCTTATGAATGCTGTTGCGCGCTCCAATGAGAGGCACCACGGCAACGTGCGGTGGCAGGTGAGATGATGGCAACGTGCTGTAGCAGGTGGGTCGGGGTCGACCGGACCTAGATCATGATATTACCAGAGCAAAAATACTCACAATCCTCCACTCTTCCTTTCGTGGTGTTAAAAAATCCTCCACCCATTTCTTTCCTTTCCCTCTTCCCCTCTTGAATTCCACCCCGGCTGCTTCTATTCTACCGCAACCTTACGAAGGCTTCACCCTGATTTTCTCCTGAATCGTTTGTCCAATCCCATCCCCCTTCCAGCTCACCCACTCGGGGTTCCACCTGTGGGCGTCAGCCGCGATCGCGGCTGAAGATGCTCTCCTGTTGCCTCTCAACAGTGGCCTGCCCGACCCGCTGCAGCACGACTCACTACAGCGCAACTCGCTGGGGAAAGAAGCAGGGTGGGAGACTGCGGAAGGGGAGGAAGGGGAGGGGCGGGCGCACTTGTCTTCTCTGGGGGAGGTGGAGGAGGGGGACAGCGGTGTGCCACTGACATCGCTGGAAGGGCTGAGGGAAGCAGACAGCCATGTGTCGTCGACCACGCTGCTGTCTAATGATGATGCCTTCCTCTCCCTCGGGATCATCTCCGCCTGCTCCGCCTTTGACCGCGTGCAGGTCCGTTCTCAAACAGTCCAGGTCGGTGCTGAGCAGTGCACATGGGCTGTGAGTGGTGCAGGTGATTTGTGAGCGGTTCAGGTGGCTTTGCTCGCTCGAGACCACGTGCAGGTGGAAGCACGTGTGTAAGTAGACGACTATTGAGACGTCTCAAAACTCGAGACCACGTGCAGGTGGAAGCACGCGTCATGTCAGTCGGAGCGGAGTGCCTCTCTAGTTGAGCGTTTGCCTGCAGTGCAGACCCGGCTGAATGGGATTTTTAGAGAGAATTCAAAAAACGCAGATCAGTTCTGTCATGAGGTTTGTCTGGTGCCGATTAAACTTTCCTCACGTTCAGACTCGCTCTCCTCCCCTTCTTCCCTTTACTCCCCTCCTCCCCTCTCCTCACAGATCTTCCCCACCCTCTTCAGCGTCACTCGCAGCATCTCAACGGCCGCCTTCTCGGAACCTTCCTTTCGAGCACTGTTTGAAGCGCGGGCGGCAGCGGCAGGCAGGAAGGCAGTGGAGCAAGTGCGGGCAGTGAAAGACCATCTCTTCTCCACCGCCCTGAAAAAAGGCCTTATCACCCGCACGGGTGCAGACACCCGTTGGGGTGGTCCCGACCCGTTGCATCAAAAGGAAAAGGTCCCCCAAGGGCTTTCTCAGAAGGGCTCGGGGAGAGGTTTGGGAGACGGTGGTGGTGAGAAAGGGACCGGGGAATACCGCAGTGCAAAGAGGCTGCACGCTGGAAAGTACAGCAGCGCAGAGAGGTCGGAAGCTGGGGAACACATGGCAGATAGTTCTGGAGATGGAGAGTGGGATTTGGAGGGGATGGGGCGGGTGCTGCAGCAAATGCTGTTCTGGGAGAGGCGGCGAGGCATGCGCGTGCGATTGGCTGAGAGGCTGGCGAAGATGAAGGAGAGAGCATCGGCGGAGAGTGAGAGGAGAGAGGGGGGCGAAGATGAAGAAGGGGGAGAGGGGGGTGAGAGAGGTGGCGGGAGAGGCAGTGGGGAGGAGCATGGGGAGAGGGGAAAGGAGGGGAAGGAGGGCGAGGAGGGCGAGGAGGTCGAGGAGGGAGGGGAGGGAGAGGAGGGAGAGGAGGGAGAGGGGGAGGGGCTGTATGTGTACGCGGATGGGAGGATGGACCCTGAGCTTGTCGCTCAGTTCAGTGCCACTGCTCTGCTGGCTGTTACTGGGGAAGGTACTGCTGGGGAAGGTAGCACTGGAGAAGGTATGGGAAAGGTAGCACTGGGGAAGGTAGCTCGCAATCACATACGGCCTTAACTAGAGCCTAGCGCGTGCCTCATGCTTTGCTGCTCGGTGCATGCTGCCAGCCTACCCACTCTCTTCACTCACTCTTCCACACGCCACACGCCATGCTCATCTCACCCCCACAACCCCACTCGTCGCACACTCGTCTCATCCCCAACCCCATCCCACTCATCTCACATTTTTGAGAATTCTCAAAAGCAGCTCACTCTTCCCATTTCACACTCCACACTCCACACTCATCTCACCCCCAACCCCACTTATTGCACACTTATATAATATCCCCCACCTGTTCATTTGGTAAGCACCATTTCCCACCCCCATCTATTCACTTGAAACGCATCTCACCGCTCCTCCCTCCTTCACTTATCGCCCACCTCCCCCCCGAATTATCGCCCACCTCCCCCCCGAATTATCGCCCACCTCCCCCCCGAATTATCGCCCACCTCCCCCCCGAATTATCGCCCCCCTCTCCCCGACATCCCCACCAGATCCCAACCCAGCACTGCTAGCGCGGGTGAGCGTGGCTCTGGCGTGGAATGTGGACGGCACCACACCCTGATAAAGCCCTCTTTGCACACTCACTATTCATATCCCCGTCATTCCACACCTCCCTATACGTCTCCTTCAGATCCCGACCCATCGCTGCTAGCGCGGGTGAGCGTGGTACTGGAGTGGAATTTAGGCGGCACCACCACCTGCTCATATTCCCCCCCCCCTCCACTACCTTCCCCCACTCTCCCCCCCCCCCCAACCAGAGCCCGACCCAGCAGTGCTGGCGCGGGTGAGCGTGGTGCTGGCATGGAATGTGGACGGCACCACCACCTGCACGCACATGCCTCTGCTCTCCCTCCCCTCCCACCCGCTCTTCCTCCCCCTCTCCTACGCCTCCTCCTCTCACCTGACGGACCTTCCTGTAATCCTAGACGTGGTTTTCAGCAGCTTGCAGCGGCCAGTGGGGGAGCTTTTAACGAGGATAGAGACGGCATTGCAAGGGGCAAAGGCGCGGGTGGAGACAGGGATGGTCTGCCGGGAAGGCAGAGCAGCGGGGATCAACTCGGTTCAGGTGGATGAGGTGAGAGACAGAGTGGGAGCTTGGAGCGGGGATGGAACAGGCAGAGAGCAAAATGGTTGAGGGCAAACAGATTGGTTATAGACGTCGTTTAGATGTCGCCTTAAAGCTGCTCTCTCCTCAAAGCATGTCTCCCTGTCGTCTCTCTCCTCTTGCACTCCTGCCTGCCATTTGCATCCCTGAGACGATTTTTGAGGCGCTTAAGAAATTGTCGTCTCTCTCCTCTTGCACGCCTGCCATTTGTATTCCACCAAATTTCCATTCCACCCAACCCTTTTGTGCATCTTCCCCTTCCTCCATCCCATGCCATTCGCCTCTTGCAGGCTTGCCGGCCGTCAGTGCTTGCCCACGTGGCGCCCTCCCATTCGCTGCTGCGGTTCCTCGACAGCAAGCGAAGCATCCTACTGGCTGCCTCCGATCGCCTCGCCTCTGCCTGCAAGCCCCAATCAGTAACCGCCACATCAGCAGCAGCAGCAGAACGAGATGCAGCAGCTGTTTCATCCCAAAAGGGAGAAGAGCAGGAGGACAGAGGGAGGGAAGAGACAGAGGGGGGAAAAGAGACAGAGGGGGGAAAAGAGACAGAGGGGGGAAAAGAGACAGAGGGGGGAAAAGAGACAGAGGGGGGAAAAGAGAGAGAGGAGGGAGAGGAGGGAGAGGAGGGAGAGGAGGGAGAGGAGGGAGAGGAGGGAGAGGAGGGAGAGGAGGGAGAGGAGGGAGAGAGCAGGAGGATGGGGTTTGGGAGGGGAGGCAGTGAGTTGACGGGGAGGGCAGGGGTGTGGAGTGCGGTGGCGGGAGAGAGGATGGGCGAGATGGGGGAGGAGGAGCGTGTGACGGTGTTTGTGGAGTGGGTGCGGGCGAATGGCATGGCGGACTATAACAAGCCCGGCTCGGGGATTGAGGTGCGTTGGGGTTGAGGTGCGTTGTAGACTTGTCAGCATCAAGGGCTATGCAAGCAAGCATGCGTACCATGATTGACTTCGGGTTGATTTCAGGTTGCTGTGCCTCAAGTGTACCTCTACTGTGGTTGCTGTGCCTCAAGTGTACCTCTACTGTGGTTGCTGTGCCTCAAGTGTACCTCTACTGTGGTTGCTGTGCCTCAAGTGTACCTCTACTGTGGTTGCTGTGCCTCAAGTGTACCTCTACTGTGGTTGCTGGCATGGCAGGGATGAGAGATTCTGAGCGTGCCGCTTCACAGTGCCATTCTCTTTCTCTACACCAACACCACCGCCACTACCACCCCCGTGCTTTGGTGGCAGATAGTTTTCTGGAACGAGACTGAGGGCAATGAAGGGCGCGAAAGCAGGTGAGGTGAGGTGAGGGACAGAAAGAGGGGAAAGCTGGTGAGAGCGACATGTGTCATTTCATGTTCCATCTGTGCATGCTGAATGCATGTCCCATCGGTGCATGCTGAATGCATGTCCCATCAATGCATGCTGAATGCATGTCCCATCGGTGCATGCTGAATGCATGTCCCATCTGTGCATGCCGAATGCATGTCCCATCAATGCATGCTGAATGCATGTCCCATCGGTGCATGCTGAATGCATGTCCCATCTGTGCAGGGAGGGACCACGAAGAGGACTCAGTCCTCCTCTCCATCCCAGGTTCCCTCTGGGTTACCACCGCCATGCTCCAGCAATAGACGGACCAAAGAGTGATGTTGTGTATTGTGCCTTGATCCATCCCTCCCCTTACACGCTCATTCCAGGCGCCAGCTGTCGGTGCGAGCAGGGAGGGATCATGAAGAGGACTCAGTGCTGCTCTCCATCCCCACCTCCCTCTGGGTCACCACCACCGCCATGCTGCAAGCCATAGGGGGACCGCCGTACCCCGGCCCTGTGTGGTCCTTCACTATCGCCGCAGCGTGGCTGCTAAGGGAGATGCTTAAAACGAGGACGGAGTCCTTCTGGTGGCCGTACCTGCAGCTGTTGCCGCGTCACGTCCCCCTGCCCTACTTCTTTGAGGAGGAGACGCTGGAGGAGCTTCAGACCCCTTCAATCGTCAAAACAGTAAGTTGGTGTGAATGCCGTGAGTGAGTGAGTCCCTGCCTACAGCGGCCGTACCTGCAGTTGCTGCCCCGCCACGTCCCCCCCACACTCCAACCACGAGGCGCGCAGCAATCTAGCGAGCTACGAGTTTGAGTACCGTCGCTGCGGCCCCACAGTGCTGGACAACGCGTCCCTCTTATCCCACCCCCTCCCCTCTCAATCAACCACCTGCCAGGTGCGCAGCAATCTGGCGAGCTACGAGTTTGAGTACCGGCGCTGCGGCCCCACAGTGCTGGCGAATGCCTCCCTGCACGAGTTCGTGTGGGCGCTCTCTGTCCTGCACTCACGCGCCTTTGATGACCCTAGGTCTTGGAGCGTGGTGGCTTTTGATTCACCCTGAGAAGAGGACCCGGCTTGGGGGTTTACTGCCTCGGGCTGCATCGGTCAACGCCAAGCCAACATCTCTGCCTTTTCCCACCTTCTCCCCCCTCCCCCTCACACGATAATCCTCTCACCAGCTGCGCAGCAATCTGGCGAGCTACGAGTTTGAGTACCGGCGCTGCGGTCCCACAGTGCTGGCGAATGCCTCCCTGCACGAGTTCATGTGGGCGCTCTCTGTCGTTCAGTCGCGCGGCTTTGACGACCCACGCTGGTGGGGGAATGTGGTTCTGTACGAACCCACAGGCCCTGCTGCGGTGGATGAACCTGTAGAAGCATGGAGGGGAGGCTCAGGGGAAGGGTCGGGTGGAGGAGGTTCGGAGGGAGGTTCAGGGGGAAGTTCGGGGGGAGGTTCGAGGGCGTCGGGGCAAGTGGAGGTGTGGCTGAAGAAGAGTGCAGTGCTGCTGGTGCCGCCTGCCGAGTTCTTTGACCACAGCAACGACGTCCAAACTGCCTACTCGGTACCACTCTTTTGCGACGTGAATGTTCTATAACTATTGTTTCTGCTGCTGCTGCTGCTGCTGCTGCTGCTGCTGCTGCTGGTGCCGCCTGCAGAGTTCTTCGACCACAGCAACGACTTCCAAACTGCCTACTCAACACCGTGCCCGCGATATGAACGTGCTATAATCATTGCTGCTGCTGCTGCCGCCGCCGCCGCCGCCTGCAGAGTTCTTTGACCACAGCAATGACTTCTGAATCACCTACTCGGTACCCTGCTCGCGGCGTGAATGCGATGTTGCACAAAATTATTGTAATCATGATTCAAATCATGGTTATATTTATTACCGTTATTGGTACATATCTATGCTACATTGTTGGAATGTTCCGCATGGTCAAGGACAGTTGTTGAGGACAGGGCTGCTTCTTTCGGCTCCTGCAAGGTTGAATTTTTCTTTCGGCACCTCCAGGGTTGACTTTATCTTTCGGCCCTCCTCGACATCTTTCGTTCGGCCCTGTCCTCCAAGGCCATCTTTGTGTGATAAGTTGATGTTTGAGCCAAGGGGGATGCGTTTGAGTTTGCGGCAACAGGGGGGTTGAGGAGGTGAGCACGAGCTACGGGCAGCGGTGCAACGAGGATCTACTGGAAGCATACGGCTTCGTGCTGCCCAGAAATATGTTTGACAGCGCCCCCCTGCTGCCTTCTCTCTCCTATGCAGCTCCCCACCCTTTTCCCCACCTTCCCCTCTTTCCCCGATTGCTCCTTTCTTCTTTCCCTTACCCACTCTCCCCCACACAGATTGGCGCCAACGGAGATACGTTTGAGTTTGTGGCAACAGGGGGGGTGAGGAAGGGCGAGGAGGTGAGCACGAGCTACGGGCAGCGGGGCAACGAGGACCTTCTGGAAGCATACGGCTTCGTGCTTCCCGGAAATATGTTTGACAATGCTCCGCTTCTGCCGTCGCTCTCCCACGCTGTTCACCTCGCTGCCGCTCTCGTCCACCACGGAATGAAGCAGCAGCGAGGGGCCGAGCTGGCAGCGCAGCAGGAGGGACAGAGGGGTTCGGAGGGAGGAGCGGGAGGAGGTGGAGAGGGTGCCATAACAACTGCTTGTGCGGCGAGAGAGGATGGGAGCAAAGGCCACTGTATGGCTGCTGCTGCTGCTGCTGCTGCTGGAGAGCAGAAGATGAAAGCTGTATGCAATGCTGCTGCTGCTGCTGCTGCTGCTGCTGCTGCTGCCTGTCCTGCTGCGGCGTCTGCTTGTTCTAGTGATCTGAAGCACACATGCAGTGCTGCTGATGCTGCTACAGCCGCCACTTCTGAGGCTACAGCAAAGGATGCAGCCGAGGCTGTAGGTCATACTACAGCTGGCAGTGGTGCCAGCCCTTCCCGCCGTGTTCAACCAGCACCCTCTTCAATCCCTTGGCGACAAGGCCTCAAGCAGAAGCTGCTGCGTGTGTGGGCGAGTGCTGCTGCTGCTGGTGTCAAGACCTCAACGATTCCACTGCATCGGCTGAAGCGGCAGCTGTGGCGAGTGGCAGCGAGGGCAGTGGAGGCGGTGGTGAGGGAGCGAGAGGAGGAAGGGGGGAAGTTCTACGGCGTGGCGGAGCAGGGAGGCACGCCGTATGAGGTGATGCAGCGGATCAGGAGAGGGAGCAAGGTGGAAGAGATACTGGGGGGTGTGGAGGAGAGGACAGCGGCGGACAAAGAGGGGAGTGTGGGTGTGTCTGTGTGGGCGAGAGGGCTCGTGGAACCGAATCTGGTGGCAGCGCTTGCTGCTGTGTTCTACTACCTGCAGCATAAAAGAGGTGGGTCAGTGGGAGTGTGGGCGTGTCGGTGTGAGTGAGTGGGCTCGTGGAACCAAATTTGGTGGCTGCGCTTGCTGCTGTGTTGTACTACTTGCAGTATCAGAGAGGTGGGTCAGTGAGCAGTGCAGTTTAGTTAGAATTCACAAACACATCTGGTGGCTGCTGCTCTTGCTGCTCTGTACTACCCCCTGCTGCATTCTGAGTCGACTAAAAAATCGACTGATCTCATTTGGTGGCTGCTCTGTACTACCTCCTGCGCATTCTGAGTGAAGCGGATGATACTCCACACTGTAGAGTGGTCTTTCAAAATCTTCGAGCGACATGCTTAGCAGTGCCACATCAGTTTCAAAGTTTCAATGTGGTGATGGATCGTGGACTCATTATGGTTCTTGAGTGCCAATTACAGCTAGCAGCTAGCTAGCCAATTCTGTGTGCTGCACTGCTAAGCATGTTGTTCGAGGATTTTGAGGGACTGCTCCACAGCGTGGAATATCATCTGCTTCACCTGCAGTTCCTCTCCTCACCCGCCACTGATATGCTGCTCCATTCCTCTTCTCCTTTTCCCCTTATACACACACACAGATCCCCCTGCAGTCCTTACTAGCTCAGCGGTCTACCTAGGTTGGGCCGTCAGCAACAGCTCCTGCCGCTTCCTCTCCTCACCCTCCCCTGACACGCTGCCTGCCCTGCAAGCAGCGGCTGACACCGTTCGTCTGCTAGCGCAGGCGCGGCTGCAGCAGATGCCGAGGAGCATGGAAGAGGATGAAGCGATCCTGAGGGAGTTGGAGCGTTGTAAGAGCGGCTTGAAGAGAGATGGGAGAGAGGAGGATGGGAGAGGAGAGGGAAGGATGGAAGAGGCAGAGGGAGAGGGAGGAAAGGAGAGTGAGGAGGTAGAATGGAGGGGCAACGAGAAGCAGAGGAGGAGAAAGGAGGAAAAGGAGGTTGAGAGCGGTTGTGAGGAGTGGCGGAGAGGAAATGGTGGAGATGGGGAGAGGAGGCTGGCTGGAGGGAGGTTGACAGGAGGGAAGTCGAGAGGAGGGAGGTTTGGAGGAGAGAGGATGACAGTGATGGGAGTGCGGTGCAGGTGTGCAGTGCTGCTGCCAGTGTTGGATGAGAAGGTAACAGCGGTGCAGTTCCGGCTGAACAGGAAGCGAGTGCTGCACGGTGTGGTGTCCCGCCTGGAAGCTGCTTGCCCTCCCACTCACAACCTGGTTTCTACTTAGATAGGGTTTATTTCTTTGGCGCCTCAAAACTGATGGGAGTGCGGTGCAGGTGTGCAGTGCTGCTGCCAGTGTTGGATGAGAAGGTAACAGCGGTGCAGTTCTGGCTGAACAGGAAGCGAGTGCTGCACGGTGTGCTGACCCGGCTGGAAGCTGCGTGCCCTCCCATTCACAACCTGGTTCCTTCATAGGCCGGGATTGGGGCTTTTGAGTCGACTTGGACGTTATCTCGACCGCTGCACATGTGATGTTTACAGTCAAAGCTTGGAGCTGCTTGCTTTCCCACTGACTGACAGGCTAGGCCTTCAGAGTTGACTCAAATGTCACCTCTAGTGCTGCAGGCTGTGGCGGCACAGCTGGAAGCTGCACGCTCTCCCAGTGACTAACAGCCTGCATCTGCGATCGTGGATACCTGGTACTGGCAGTAGCAGCACTGTGCTGGACAGTGGACCCGGCATGTGCTGCAGCAGGCTGGACTGACACGTGCTGCTGTGGTCGTGGATATCTGGTACGGGCAGAGGCATTCTGTATTGGGGTGTGCGGGCTGGACAGTAGGCAGGGCAAGTGCTGCAGGTTGTTGCGGCACGGCTGGAAGCTGCTTGCCCTCCCACTGACTGACACCTGCTGCTGTGGTCGTGGAAATCCGGTACAGGCAGAGGCGTTCTGTATTGGGAGGGGGGGGGGGGGGGGTGGTGTGCGGGCTGGACAATAGACACGGCAAGTGCTGCAGGGTGCTGTGGCACGGCTCGACGCTGCATTTTCTAGGCAGCTCAAAACATGGCTCGGAGCTGCATGCTCTCTTTTGAGAATTCTCAAAAGTGAGTGCCATTTGACCTCGACTCAATAAAGAGTCAACCGTACTGTATCAATTGGTTCACATTTGTCATCAGGTCTATGGTGCCTTGCCTTGTCATTGTGCCAGCACAATCAAGACAGCTCATTGCCCTCAGATAAAGTGTGTCCCTCCCTGTCATAGATGCGCATGCAACATGCGTTTAACGGGGTCTGGGTAATTGCTGTTTCTAATGATGAATATACGGGATGTCGGTGCTTCAAAGTCTTTGAAATCCGCCCCAATTCTAGAATGACTGGTTGAGACCAAACCCTCTGGCACCAAGGCCTGAAAAATATGAATCATATATTACAATAGTTTGACGCATTTACACTATCATAGTAGCCTTTATTTTGGAGGTTATTATCTGCTAGCATGCTATAGAAAGCACTAGACTTCAGTTTTTTCAGATTCTCAGGAGCTCCAAACTCAATGCTCTGCCCACTTTCCAAGACGAGAACCTGCAAAACGGGGATTGGATAGCAGAAGAACCAAATTAAATAAGCATTTGAGCATGTAGGATGAGTGCAAATAGGATGCTCATATGTAGGGTGCGCAAAGGGTGTTCGCATGTAGGGCTTGTGCACACACACTCACATCAATGTGAATGAGTATATGTGAGCAAGAGGCACAGATAGCACTCTTATGACTCTGACTTGCCTGATCATAATCAACAACTGCGGAGAGGCGGTGTGCAATGGTGATGAGGGTGCTGTGCTTGATATATTTTGGAGACGTCTCAAGAAGACTTGCCTGATCATAATCAACAACTGTTGAGAGCCGGTGTGCGATGGTGATGACAGTGCTACACTTGAATGACTCCCGCAAGATGTTTTTTATTAGTGCACCACTCTCCCCATCCATGCTCGCTGTCGCTTCATCCATCAGCAAGACCCGTGTTGAAGCGAGTAACGCCCTGCACAGAAAACAAATAGCAAGGTGACTTTTGAGTCGTCTAAAATGTCTTTGATCGCTGCATTGCTCTCCCCATCCATGCTCGCTGTCGCTTCATCCATCAGCAAGACCCGTGTTGACGCGAGTAATGCTCTGTATGGAAAACAAATACCGTAAAATTAGAAGACAGCAGAACACGTCCTGTATGATAACAGTGGGTCTCAAGTCAATGTAAGATTCCGAGACAGAGACAAGTCCTGGACTGTAATTGGTTTTTGAGAAATCTGAAAAACCAACTCGAGACAGACACAAGTCCTGGACTGTAATTGGCCCCAAGGCATCCCCCCTAGGCGTACCTTGCGAGGCAGAGCAACTGCCGCTGCCCCAGGGAGAGGCTCCCACCGCCCTGAGCCAGGGCACCATCCAGCCCGCCCAGCAGCCCCGCCACCAGCGGCTTTAGGCGCACCGTTGCCAGCACCGACGACAGCGCCTCGTCACTGTGCTGGCTGTGATGGGGGCATGGGGGGATGAAGTGGGGGATGAGAACCTTTTGAGAATTCTTAAAAGTCAGAAGTAGATTTGGAAATCAGCCACGGATAGGCCACAAAGTCTCAGTGTAACGTCCTACGAGTCCTCTGAGTGTTTCTCCATAACATCCCCTACGGATAGTTCCAGATAACTTATTACAATCTTCCCGTGGGAATGGGCAGCCTTACCCCAAGGGATCAAGGTTGAATCGCAGTGACTGGCTGAAGAGAACCGGCTCTTGAGGAATGGCCACCACCTGCAACAGGGGAGACCGTCGAAAACCAGCACAATAGATGAAATAAGATTATGCATGGTAACTGTTTGAAAGGTAGCCAACAGTTAGAGGAGATGCTACTTTGTTGCTTACCTTCCTTTGTATATGGCTGCGAGTAGTTTTTGGGTCGGCTAAAAAGTGCCACTTGGATGCTTACGTTGCTTCAAAGGGTAGCGAGTGGCAGCGGTGCAATGTCTTTTTTGAGGTGCCTCAAAGGCTTACGTTGCTTCGCACACCAGCAGGAGGCAGCAATACAAGGACTTTCAGGTGCCTTAAAAGCTTACCTTGCTTCGCAGGGTGGCGAGGGCCAGCGATGCAATGTCCACATCATCAATGTGAATGCTCCCTGAAGAAGCTTCCACCAACCGCATCAGAGCAAGCATGAGGGTGGATTTGCCTGCACCTGATGGGTTGAGGCATGGCAGACAGATACACAACACACACCAGCCAGCACAGTCTCAAGCGCTTTTCAAAGAAGGGGCGAATCATGCCATCTGCACCAAGTACATTGAGATCAGTTGTGAGAATCCTTAGAGGCGGCAAGCATTCCCTCTGTGAAGCAGCCCCCAGCGATGCTACGTTGGACCGGAGAGGCAACCCCGCATCGCCTCACCTGTTCGCCCCACCCGAAAGCTCAAGCTTCGCAGCACTGGGCGCCCGGTGCGGCCATACCACACTGTCAGCTGCTCCACCTGCACTGCTCCTGATGTGGGCCAGGAGGGGCGAGGGGCGCTGCCGCTGTACCCCTCCTCCTCCTCACTGTCTGATGCTGCATTGATGGCTTGATAGCTGGGGGAGAGAGGATAGCGAGCGCGTAGTGACTGAAAGGGAAGGAGGCTGACTGCTGGTTGCAGTGCTCTGTACAGTGCTCCGTACAGGAACCTGGATAGAGAGAATATGACCACAGAATTTTGCTGCTGACGACGCTGTGGCTGCTGCTGCCGCCACTTCTGCTGCTGATGCTTAGATTTATTTCTGGGGCTCGGTGCTGACTCTTCCCGTGGCAGTGTGGTGTACTCGAGTGTGCACTCAACACTGGTGAACTGCCATAGATGGGGTGGGGTGTCAGAGGTGCGGGGATATAACAATGCAGGTTACCGAAATGGCCGAGTGCAACATGAATGAGTCTGCTTCTGTGTCGACTCAAATGGCCGAGTGCAACATGAATGAGTCTGCTTCTGTGTCGACTCAAATGGCCAAGTGCAACATGACTGAGGTGCAGGGTGCAACACAATTTCAAAGCACGGGAATGTGAAATAGGAATCGTGTGTGCCATCACATCACCATAACGCATCACATGTGCTGCGCAGAGCGGGAGAGCACGGCGAGACAGGAGACCGGTGCTTGCTTGCTTGCTTGCTTCCATATTAGCAGCTTGCTTGCTTCCATATTAGCAGCTTGCTTGCTTCCATATTAGCAGCTTGCTTGCTTCCATATTAGCAGACAGACTTTCCCAAAGGAGCACCATTTCCTGGTTTCCACCCCTCCATGCTCCAGCCTCGTATTTTGAGGATTCCAAAAAAACAGATTCAGCATATCAGCAGACTTTCCCAAAGGAGCAACATTTCCTGGTTTGCACCCATTCATGCTGCTGCTTCGTTCATCCCTTGTTGCAACGCAATTGCCACACTCATAAACATCACAACCATCGCACCCCTATCCCCTCGCCTCACCCATGTCCCCGTGCCTCAACCTGTCCCCTCGCCTCACTCAGGTCCCCTCGCCTCACTCAGGTCCCCTCGCCTCACTCAGGCCCCCTCGCCTCACTCAGGCCCCCTCGCCTCACTCAGGCCCCTCGCCTCACTCAGGCCCCCTCGCCTCACTCAGGCCCCCTCGCCTCACTCAGGCCCCCTCGCCTCACTCAGGCCCCTCGCCTCACTCAGGCCCCTCGCCTCACTCAGGCCCCCTCGCCTCACCTCCTATCCTCGCCTCACCTCCTATCCTCGCCTCACCCTGGCCCCCTCGCCTCACCGTGTTTTCCAGCTCTGTGCCGTACTGCAGCGCCCAGCGCAGGAAGTTGGGCAGCCTTCCCTTCCCTCACCACGTTCCCTCACACCCATGAACATCACACCCATGAACATCACACCCATGAACATCACACCCATGAACATCACACCCATGAACATCACACCCATGAACATCACACCCATGAACATCACACCCATGAACATCACACCCATGAACATCACACCCATGAACATCACACCCATGAACATCACACCCATGAACATCACACCCATGATCATCACACCCATGAACATCACACCCATGAACATCCCACCCA